ATATACATATTTATTTACACATACATATACATATATGTATAGGTATATATATATATAGTTCAAAATGACTAAAATGAAACACGCATTATTCCCTGTAACTCTGAGTTTCGTGCTTACGCACTCATCAGACAGATTTAATGAAAAACATTCTTGTAGGCTCATTTATATATATATATATCCATAAAAAGTAACTGCTGATTACGATAGGCTGTTGATATATAATGGGTGAGAGGAAGCGAAAATTACAAAAGGACAATAAGACAGTGGGTGTCCATTGTAGCGGGGAAGCGTCAGCTGTTCTTTAGAAAAAAACTTGTTTTCGTGGCGGTATTTGGATATAAGTTCCGGATCTTTTATTCAATAAGTCTTTGCTGTTGGACTTAATAATTATGAGTTTCTCGGTCAGGCAAAGGGCGAGTCTTTTCGTCGTGTTGTTGTAGGGCCTAGATCTTGCAATAATGGACCATTTTATGCTGAAGTTTACAGAGTTGTCCTTCAGTTGCCAGATGTATTTGAATAGTTCAGTGCTGTTAGTGTGTTTTCTGTGTCGGAATGTGACCTTGTGTTGATTAAATCTTTGTTTAAAAGTTTCTTCAGTCAGTCCGATGTAGTTCTTAGAAGTTTCTTTGTTATCTGTAGTGGTGAGTTGTACGTTGTAGATAATGCTGAAAGACAGGCAATTACTGTTTAGCGGGCACTGCTCTTTAGAACTGCAGTTGCAAAGGTTATTGTTGTTGTCGGGGTTGTTGTTGTTGTTAGATAGTACCTTTTTGTTGTTTTTGTTAATCACCGATCCCATGTTCTCCATACAACTGTAGCGGACCTTTGCGTTGTTCTTGTTGAATAAACTATGGTATTTGTGATGTTTTGGAAAATGCTTCGAATTGAATGTTTTTGATCATGTCGTGCACGTCAGACTCAAAGTTGTTTAGGTCTCCATTTTGAGGCTGGCATTTTCTTGACTTGAATCCGAAGTTGTTGTTTTCGTTTATATCGTCGCTTTTGCTGTCTTTGTCCTCGTTTTGTTGGAGGAAGAAGGCTTTCCATCGCATCCGTTTAATTACGCTTTCGGTTTTTTCGATGAGTTTCTTTAGGTAGGATTTTTTTGTAGGTACAGGAATGTTCTTCATTGAGTAATTGAATATTGTTTGTTTCATTGTGGATAACAGCGTTTAGCAAACTGAACAATGCAAAGTCAAACCACCCTCCCAACATAATCAAGCAATTACCTGACTCCATCAGCCGCAGAATATCTGATAACTCCTGCAACGAGGACGAATTCAACAAAGCCGAAACGGAATACGACACTGCCCTCAAATCCAGCGGGCATACGAAAACCCTAACCTTCATCAAGCACAGACAGACCACCCGACTCAGAAGAACCCGACAAAGAAATATTATCTGGTACAACCATCCTTTTAGTAACATACAAACAAACATCGGCAGAAAATTTCTCAGTCTGGTATCAAAGCATTTTCCAAAGCATCACAAATACCATAGTTTATTCAACAAGAACAACGTAAAGGTCAGGTACAGTTGTGCAGAGAACGTGGGATCGATCCGACTAGCAAACACAACAAAAAAGTGCTATCTGACAACAACAACCCCGACAACAACGAAAGCCTTTGCAACTGCAGATCTAAAGAGCCGTGCCCGCTCAACAACAATTGCCTGTCCTCCAGCATTATCTACAACGGACTAATCACCACTACAGGTAACAAAGCGACTCCTAAGAACTACTTCGGACTGACTAAAGGAACTTCTAAACAAAGATTTAATCAACACAAGGTCACATTCCGACTCAGAAAATACACTAACAGCACTGAACTATTGAAATACATCTGGCAACTGAAGGACAACTCTGTAAACTTCAACATAAAATGGTCCATTATTGCAAGAGTTAGGTCCTAGAACAACACGACGAAAAGATGCGTCCTTTGCCTGACCGAAAAACTCATGATTCTTAAGTCCAACAGCATCAACTTACTGAATAAAAGATCCGAACTTATATCCAAATGCTGCCACGAAAACAAGTTTTATCTAAAGAACATCTGACGCTTCCCCGCTACAATAGACTTTTGTCAACACATTCACACCTACTGGCTTATTGTCCTTGTAATTTTTGCCTCCTATCACCCATTAATTATCAACAACCTATCGTAATCAACAGCTAATTATTTATGGTTATATATGTATATACATATATTTATAAATTAGCCTACAATAATGTTTTTCATTAAATCTGTCTGACGAGTGCGTAAACACGAAACTCAGAGTTACAGGGAATCATGCGTGTTTGATTTTAGCCATTTTGAACTGTATTTCGCTCTACACATGTGTATTAAACATTTTCCAGCAGCATTTGCTGTAATTCCTAACAAAATGGCACCACAAGTGTGGAATCATTTGGGGTGGCTCTATAGCTTCACCTCCATCCTAGATTCAGCACTGCACTGATGAAGCCCAGAAGGCCGAAACAGCACTGTCTGCAGTTATATACATATTTCTATATATAGAGATATATATACTGTAATTGTTATTCGCATGTTCTAACTACAGATCTCTTGCCTTTCTCTCTCCTGTTTCGTACGTTCCTGCGAAAATGATAAAAGGAAGGGAAATGATATTCTAAATAAAAGATGTTTTTTCGTCGATTCGTTTCGTTTATTTTCTTTTCTTCATTTTTTGTTTTGCTTAGATATTGTTTTCATTTCTGAAAGCGAAGGAGTGGGCACCATGTACTTAGCTCAAATCAAGCTGATTAACTGTGCATCTCGGCACGACCACTGAGGACTAATGTCTGCAGAAAGTTATAGACGGTTTAAAATTTTAAGATTTCGCTTACCTACCTTGATTTGTAAGTGGCTTGACGGTAAACAGGAAATTCACTTCTGGGGTACCTAGGCAGGGTATGATATCAATGCTCCATATCCCTGTTTTGTTCTTAACTGTAAAGCATTGATGCCGTTCACAACTTTCACAACAATTTGTTTCATTGAAAAATTTTAGTTCAAAACACCGCTCAAACTCTTTACAGGAGGAGGAGGAGCAAGTAGCAATACCATAAGAGGGGCCACAAGATATCCAATTCCACCGGCTTAGAAAGTCATTTCTTATCAGTTTCTCACACTCTGTCTCTATCTCGAGTCCGAGCTCTGTAAAGTGGGTACATTTGTATCCGGCCTCTGCAAAATAAGCATATAGAAGTGGTAGGTCTCAGTGCAAAGAGAAAAGCAGAGCTCTTTTTGGACATCTAAAATGACAACACCACGGAATTGCTTCTACTGCTTCAGTCAGAATGGAAATGAACTCACCCTGCGTTTTTTGACTCTGGAGAGCTATAAACAACAAGAAAAAAAAAAAAGAAAAAAAAATAGTGACGAAAAAAGCTTCCTGATAGATCTCTTTTATCTCACCAGAAGGAGTGGATGGATGAAGCTGAAGCAAGGTTGTCTGTTTTGAAAAGCTGAAAATCAAGTGTTTGTTTTTTGTGACACACCAAGCTTCTATTTGTTAACATCCTCCCTCTTGCTATGCCAGATTTAACTGTGCCCTGAAAACGAAACTGTTCAAAGAGCTGAAGCAGCTGTTCTTACTAGATCCCATTTACACGCATGTTCAGGTCACACGAAACCGCTTCCGCAGCGCGCCGGCAAACGTTGCAATATTTCGAGACCATTACGAGATGCCAATTTTACAATAAAGTTACCACCGATTTTCAGTATATTTTTAGAACAAATTTCTTGGTAAATCAAACATAAAGTTACAAGTTCCTCATATCCATGCCAGCGCAATTCTTTTCTGATAAAACAGAGGCGAGAGAGCGATGATTTTCCTTCAAAATCGAAACCTGCCACGGACATTTGGTCACGATGTTTACATATTTTGAAAAAATATCATAGTGCTAACTTAAAGCGCATTTTCTTTCTTTGTGATTTAATAAAAGTGAGCCACCGCGAGAGGTCGAAAAATTTAGGAAATGTTTTTCTGTTTATTGATGATTAATCGACAGCAATAGCTGTATATCTCAAACCAGGTTGAAAGAACCCATCTGACAATTTAAATAGTTGTGAAACAAAGCCAGTTTGAATTCAGCAGTATACACGACGTAACTAATGAGACGGGAATTCTAAAATGCAAAATAAGTTAGCATGAGTTTTATGAAATATTTGCCCTGTCGTATATCGTCACTCCCAAGTATCTATAGTATCACAGAGATCGTGGTAGCAATAATCCACTATAATCTGCTGTTTCTTTCAAATAAAATTTTACTATTTTAGTATCATTATGCTTTGTTTGTGTGTGTGTTTTTTTTTCCAAAGTTGTCCGTATAGCGTTTTCCACCTAAGGAATATGGACGAAAAAATTAACTTGCATACGAAAATTCTGCAGGGAATACGCATATCTAATGAAACATGTCATCCGTTTTAACTCTTAGGAGCAACCATGTATTTAGAGATGTAACATTAAAGATGATATGCAACTCACCTAGAATGACTGTCATCAAGTAAACTGCGCCAAATGCGGGCGCATAAGAAAACGCTTTCATCATTCCAAGCTTGAGATACACTGTGGAGTTTTCTATTCCTAAATCCACTTTAAATTCAACGATGGAGGAAGTAGATCCTTTTTTAATTAACGCCAGATATTGCCAGCTGTGTATTTTATCTCTCAGCTGACAGACCATTGGCCAGTGAATTTTACGTCTTGAACAAAGAATGGTTAACGTGGTAATACATCCGGGTGCCTCGAAGAAAAAAAGCGGAGTACCTTTTCTGCCTACGTTTGGGATTTTAGAGTCCGGGAAAGAATCAATTTCCAACTTCTCCTTATGATACCACATGCTAAGAAGCATACTGCCGATGGAAATCAAATCATAATGCAAAAATCATCTGTTAGTAAATTCTTTAACTTTACATACCATGGTAGTACCCAAGATTTAATAAGAAGAACATCTACTCGCCTCTTGAAAAAAAAAAACCTATATATTTCAACAAATCTAGAGAAAGGGAGGCACAATGCAAGGTCCACATATTACCTGTGGACTCAAATGGATCGCCGAGAACGGAATCAAAATGACCTTAACTGTACATGGTGAACCCGTGGATAAACTGTGCGCAATGTAATTAGAATATACAGTGATTGTACATGTAATAAAATCCATTATCATTTTATTTCAGAGGTAGATGTAAGCCGTCAACCCACAAGAGTCCTCCCCAATAGATCCGACATATTTAGGAAAGGGTCCGCCATCTTTAATAAGACCCATGCTTGCTCCAGAGTTCTAAGGCTGCTCTGAACGCTACGAAATTTTTAATTCGCATCCCATCATTGCTCTTGCTTATGCGTCTCATATCCGTGAACAAAAAGATGCGTTATCGTTTATGAGCAATTCTCAAAATGGTGGTTTACAAGGTTGAAAGTTTTGTCCATGAGAAGAAATTTTTTACCAGCTTTAGTTACGCTGTCAAATATAGCTATAATCAAAGTGTTGTAAAGGTGTAAGGATTGGCAGGGGAGAGAAAACCAGAGGAAGGGTGGAGACAAGGGAACCGAAAAACAATAAGGATGAATTTAAATGATCTTTCCTTTTATTTTTCAAATTCACCAACTCTTAGAGTAGTAGCAAGGCTCTCGAAAGTGGAAATTACATATACGCTTGCATTCCGAGCGCTCGCTAACTTTTAGCAAAGCGTCGAGTTTGATCAAACAGTGACAGGAATGAAAATGGTGAAGACGAGAACGATAATGACGAACCAGCTTTCTCTTTGGCACCTGTGGTAAATGGTAAAGAGGTGGAAAGGGGGCGTGCACTTCGCAAATTTTAACTAGGGTATATTGAGATTAAATTTTCAAGTCTATCTTGGTTTAGATAGATTGTGCGACCTCATCATAATGGAATAGCTACCATAATACCACGCGGTATCGCGTAGTAACTGTCGCGTTCTGGTTGGTTTGAATAATGTTCCCTTCATCGGCTATGAAGTGTTGTAGTCTAATAAAGTTTCCATTATGTCTTTATTTGAAGTCTACTACAAACTTTTTTCTAATTATCAATATCAATTGCGCCAAGATTAATTCATTTAGATACTGACTGATTACATTTTAAATGATTCATCATGATATATTTTAAAGCGGTCTTCTCTGGCAATTTGATTCTAAGAAATGATTCCACTTGATCATATAACCTAAATCTGTGGTTAAGGAGGTTACCCAGCAGCTGGACAAAAATGTTTCAATTTGCTATAGAGCTCATAAGCTATAGTCTAAGCAACATAAGTGAAACTGGTAATAAATGCATACAGTATTCGCTCAATTCTAGGGGAAGATATAAGTTCAAAGTCTACTCTCGATCCTCCTGAGGAATCCCAGCGTTAGCGTGACTCTGAGGGGTCTGAGAGTTCTTTGTGTTGTCAGCTTGCCTATGATTTGATGCACTTGGGTTGATATTCTTGGAATCTTCTTTTAAAACTCCCTTTTATCTAGAAAAGAGGTATAAGGAAATTAGAGGTACCCATCTTTGTTACCGGTTTTTCTGGATATAGATCACGAAGATTCAAAACTCATATATACCTCACTATTTCTCAGGCAGTGAAAGAAGAAAATAGAGAGTCCCTTCAGAAAAAAAAAAAAAGCAGTGGAGATTTAAATCGATCAGTTTATAAATATACAAATAAACAAATAGATGCAAAAATAAAAAAAAAAAGCTTAAATCGGCTTGGTCCTTTTATCGTATGGTAGCAACCAAAAGCATTACACTTTTTTTTTTGTCGCGAATGTAGGGCTGTGTCCTAACAACTCAGCCAGAGCTCTTCTATTGTTTCTTAAATGTCTTCTATCGTTCACTCGCCTAAGAGTTATTTTTCAGAATACATCTCTATCCTTCAGATTTAATAGACTCATTGTGACCCCATTATTAATGTTTAGCAGAGCTAAGGCTTTGGAGATAAAAATAAAAGTGCGAAAGGGCGTCTTAGATAATCTTTTCAGAATGGAATGGTGGGTCTGGTGTCTAAAAGTGAATCTGAGTCATCCTTAGATATGGAGACACTTAAAGTATTTCTAAGGCTCATCTTATCAGAAGTACGCCCTTATTTTATCCAGTGAAAAGCAAACTGCCTTAAAGCTTAATAGCACTTTACCTGAGTAGAGTTAAGGATTACAAAAATGTAGGAGAAGGCGATGTGTAGTGGCAAAAGAAGGCCAATCAGCCATGTAACACCCAGCAACGGAGCTAACACGACGCATGCACGGATGCCCAGCCTGTAATAGACCAAATGACATAGGTTTTCATCTGAATTCTTATCTTTTTCCCCTTCAGCGGAAATAATGGAAGACTAACAATCTAAGTTTAAACTGAAAGTTATAAATACACTGGACATAATGGTGGGGGCGACACAAGAAGCAGTTTGAAGGCTGTCCATCGAAAACGCAATTTATAAACAACAAGGTATTATGCGAGACTATTTGAAGTCTTACCTCTCCACTAAAATAATTAGCTTTATAAAGACATTACAGGGAGATACATCTCTTATCATCCCACCTGATCTGCTCAGTCTGGTTATCCTTCACCTGTTGGATTGTTGTCATTTCCTTGATAACTCGCACAAGGATTACCATGTTCATCTTCAGGGATTTAAAAGGAAAAAATAAAAATAAAGTAAGAAAAGTACGTATGATGCACGATCCTCGCAGTAGAAAGCGCTATTTATGTAATAGCGAAAATCAGACCTGAAAAAAATCAGGCCTGTACGGGATTCGAACCACTGACCTCTGCGATACTAGTGCAGCGCTCTACCAATTGAGCTAACAAGCCAACTGGGAGCAGGCCGTTAAGTTGATTCGTAATAAACCCGTGATGATAAATCAGATACAATGAATATATGAAGTTCATATATTTTGAACTGCGGTTGTAGATACGTATGATGCACGATCCTCGCAGTAGAAAGCGCTATTTATGTAATAGCGAAAATCAGACCTGAAAAAAATCAGGCCTGTACGGGATTCGAACCACTGACCTCTGCGATACTAGTGCAGCGCTCTACCAATTGAGCTAACAAGCCAACTGGGAGCAGGCCGTTAAGTTGATTCGTAATAAACCCGTGATGATAAATCAGATACAATGAATATATGAAGTTCATATATAGGTCAGTGGTTCGAATCCCGTACAGGCCTGATTTCTTTCAGGTCTGATTTTCGCTATTACATAAATAGCGCTTTCTACTGCGAGGATCGTGCATCATACGTATCTACAACCGCAGTTCAAAATATATGAACTTCATATATTCATTGTATCTGATTTATCATCACGGGTTTATTACGAATCAACTTAACGGCCTGCTCCCAGTTGGCTTGTTAGCTCAATTGGTAGAGCGCTGCACTAGTATCGCAGAGGTCAGTGGTTCGAATCCCGTACAGGCCTGATTTTTTTCAGGTCTGATTTTCGCTATT